GATAGATAGATAGATAGATAGATAGATAGATAGATAGATAGATACACACACACACACACACACACATTTGTTCTCTTTAGTCTTTTGCAGTTACATGTCTAGAACAGAGATTTTTCTGTTCAATACTCAGAGCAGTAACTTTTGCTTAAAGGCTTTTGAAATATAGAGAAACCTGAAGAGCAAGGGAGCAAAAGTGGAAGACAATTCATTAGCTCATCTCCTACTTTCAAGCTGATTGTATCTAACTGGGCACTGTGTAACACAATACTGGACAAGCTGGGCCTTTGACCTCATCCAACAGGCTTTTTACATGCTCCCCCCTCCCAATCTAATACATGTGTATGTGCTACATAGCAAAAAGGAGAACAAAATAATGTATACATTTACCGGGAGCAAAAAGGACTAAGTTTTTAGTAGTATCCATGTTGCCGTAATCCTTGCCTTTATATTTTTTGACTTCTTACTGTTTTCAGAGTAATAGAAAAAAGAATAATGCCATGAATATAAGCTGTGCCTAAGGACCAAGAAAGTATTTCAAGAGAACAAATTCCTGAAATATTTCTTTTCCCTTGATTTATATCTAGTCTCTTTTCTAAAATTAATGCCCATAGTGGCAAATAAAGTTCTAAGCACAGCCAGTCCATGCTGTTACCGCCCATTTTTGTTAAATCTTACTTGTGCTGCAATATTTCAGATATATACATAATACATACATACATGCATGCATAATTGCAGAGATTTAACTGCTTAATGTTTGGATTTTTTAGTTCTCTTTCTTCTTACTGTTTACAATGGCTCTTGGTTGCTTCTGTTATCAGTTTACCTTAACAGAAATTCACTACAGAAGTAGGCTTTGTTCCTTATACAGTCTTCTCAAAGTTTCAGTTATTTCTAATATTCCAATTTTCAGTAGATAGGGTGTGTGTGTAGATATATAAATAGAGATGCAATATGTGGATTACTGGTATACCTTCTGTTGGTAATACAGCCTTTTAGTATAGAATGTATACGTTTCAAAAACAAAAGGCATCCTTAATAAATTTTAGTTTATGCAAATCTTTAGTATATTTTGAGCAGCTAAGTAAAATGATCTAGACCTTATCATTCACCCATACTTGCTGCTGTTAGACATATTTGCTAAGTCCTACATTTAATTTCATATCTTGTAGCTTTTCTTTGGAAGATGAATTCCAAGTAACATATCCATTCTGTATGATTTTTTTTTAAATCCACATCTAACTTTTTTTCAGTGTTTCTGAGGGGTGCATGAAATATTTATTTTTGAGCAAACTGGCTTTTAAATGGCAATGAAATGTACAATATATTACCACTAAACCCAGTGGGCTAGATGGAGAGATCTCATGCATAGAGTTTTCCTCACGGAACCCTCTGAGAACAAGGGCCACAGAGTCTCTCTTCCCACTCCACCCTTATTCTCCTGCATTATTAGCTCCAGAAATCAATACTAGAGCAGGATGGAGAAATTGATGTAGGGAGCTAAACTGGGAAGGGGGAAATTGTGAAAAATTATCTCTCCCCTTGCCATCATGGGAAACATTTACTGGCATTTCTGCATTTAGAAGAACACTTCACAAAACAATCACTCTAAATCCATCCCAGTGCTATTTACTTTAAGTAAAGGTGGACATAGTTGTGATAGGTATATAGCGTGTAATTGGACATATTCATGCCTTAAGAAGCTTACAAATTAAAATCTCTTACAAGTTAAATAGCAGGATGCATTCATGGTCATGCAAAAGATGTAGAATAAAGTACCTGTTTATTCTATACAAGTCTTCATATTTTCAAAAGTAAAATCTGAATGTTACTAAAAATCTCATATCAAAAGTTATTTACTGGTTTTTTGCAAAGATACTGTGCAGCCGTTAACTATTATAAATGGCAATAAAAAATGTAATGCTTGCTTTATTGCACAATGTAGAGCATAGGCCTCACAGGAGACCCCCCAGGGAGTACTTCAGAATGTTTGAACTGACAGTACATTAACATCTATCGTAAATATTTTGACAGTAGTGTCAAAAGGGAAATTTCTTGACCACAGAGAATTTTAGGAATTTGAGCTGAAAGTCTTCTTGCATTTCTGTAGCGCACTCATATCCTGGGAAAGAAAATAAGGTTGCAAAACCATCAGATTTGGGCAACATATCTGAATCTTGATTTGGATCCTGTCCTAACTCTTTCTTCAGATCCTGATATACGAAGAAAGCTGAAAACTGTTGCCGGTATCAAAAGAAAGATCCATCATTTGAAAATTTAATTTTACATAGAAAACTTTAATGATTTCCAACAGACTTCTATGTGTTTCTGTGCTTTAGTATTAAAGCTAATGTCCCTTCGTTCCTAATGACAACAGAAATACAAAGAATTGATGAATACTTCATCAATAATGTTTCAGGAATTTGTTATTGTTTTGCGTTCTTTAATTACTTAATTATATACTCCCATACATGCTATTATGACTTTGAAAAGCTTTAAAATATGACTAAAATTAAGACTGCAATCATAAAGACACCTATTTGGAAATGAATTCCTCTGAAGATTAGTTATATCAAGTGAAGGAAAATCTATATAGAGAATTATCTTTGGAAATAAATCTTCTCTATGGACTGTCATGCATGGCAACTTCTCTCTCATATATACACACACACACACACACACATTTCTTGTATGTAATGGTTCATAGTGCTGAGCATTACATACATGCATACATCTGGACATTTTCTCAATTTTTTGTATATGTAAAATAGCTCTCAACAAGCATTATTTTAAATCAAATATGTTAACAAGGAATGAATTAACTGAACACATCCACAACTGTCTGCATTCATGAACATACTGCAATACATTTCACATATGAGATTTTGCTTGCCTTCTCTCCATCGAAATAATTCCCCAGTAGTTTTAGTACAATAGAAACATTATTGCATCAATTTTATGTATACTAAGGATGCTTTCCAGCAGAAGGTTTTATTGATACTGAACATACTGATAAATACATTTCTCTGACTCCCACAATCCAAAGGATATCAATACATATCTCTTCTGATCACTGATGGCTATCAAAAACACAATGGGTAAGACAGTCATCATGATGCCAAATTTTCATGCAGGTACTTTTTTTACCATTTGTTTTAAGTGTTATCGCTGTGGAGAAAAGCAGTTAGCTAAAGTTATCTTCAGAGATGGAAGGTATAAGCAAATGAATCATAAGTGAAATGTTCCAGTGAAAATAAATGGGCCTTTTTTCTATTCAGACATTCCAGTCACAGTTCAGCTTAAATTCAGTATTAGGAAGAATAACACAAAAAATTTCCTATTGTAATTGATTCCAACATTTGCTAAAGACAAATACAGTTCTATTTTAAATATAAATATTGCCACCATTTTATTTAATATCACAAAATGTAGAAGTGTCTAAACATTGCAGTCACATTCTATTTACCAAGATAACGTTAAATTCCTAATATCCAAATATGATTAATCAGTTTGTGAATTTCATTGCTGTTTTAGAATGGAAAGATGCACCAGTTTTCAGTGTGTTTAATGAATTTATTGTTAAGCATAATATTACTATGTTAATTTACTAATTCACTCTGTCCCAGAAAACAGTACAGGACAATTATAGCAGAGTAACTTAAAAAGCAACCAAATCTCTCATCATTAAAGGACTAAAACATTCATTAAATCAATGTAATATACCTCAATATCCAATTTTCAAATAGGAGCCAAGGCAAGTAATTCATAGCATAGGGTGAAAATTTAATATGTTCCAGGAGTCTTTTCATACTATGAGAACATAGATGGTATGCCCATTACATAAAGTTGAAAGCTCTGCTTCTGTAGATAGATAGATAGATAGATAGATAGATAGATAGATAGATAGATAGATAGATAGATAGATAGATATAGAATCTTACACTATCCAACATTTCTGAGGAAATAATTATAATGAAAAAAAAAAGTAAAAGCAATTGAATGGCTGAATCTTTCATTGTAATTAAGTACTGCATTTTGAAAGTCACATGACAAACTTGACTTAATGATTCTAAAGTATGGCATTTTGTCAATTCTGAGCAATTCTCAGGCATTCACAAAAGTGAATAAAATTACTTACACCACTTCGTTCCAGGGAGCTGTCCTCTTATAGTCCCTCTTTTCAGTCCATCTGGAGCAAAGAGAGTGTTTTCTGTATTTATCTGTTTCTTTGCATTCACTTTGCCTCCAAATGCATTACAGAGCGGCACTTCACTCTATCTTAGAGACACAAGCTTCCCACACAGCCATCCCCAGGGTCAAAGCAAGGGCAGCTGCAAGATCACATAAATCAAACAATAACTGAATCATCAGGGACAGAGGCCATCGGGATCCACACGTCACATTTTCCCAGCAATCTCTGAAGCCAGCTCTCTCAACTTTTCTGTTGTCCTGATTCAGAGTTTGACATTTCCTCATTTTGATTGCTTCACACTGTTAACATTGCACATTAGCAGCACAGGCTGTCTACACCTTCTCATGGAAAAGCAAACAGCAAGCAACATGCGATTTAGTGGACAGTATTTAAGACTAGAAATAGACAAGCCAGGGTTCTGACTTCTACTCAGATAACATTGGGCCAATTGTTATTTAGTTTATTTCACAGGATTCTTCAGAGTTGAAGGGGGTAGGGAGACCATCTGGATTTTTTAGAGTGAACGTATACAGGATAAAAAATGTAATAAATAAATATCAAAATACTTACTCCTGTGTGCTCTTTTTATATTATAATTACCCTGTCCCATTCATAGATTTGCCTTATACATGTTTGCTTAAACATGGTTTATTTAATAAGCCACAGTTGGCTAGTTCACACAACACGCTAATTTAACACAACGCATTTAAGTCAAACATCTTCATGATGGTTTAGTATGATATGTTTTTCATTTATAGAATTCTAGAAATAATGATATCTTCTACTTTTAACTCTCCTTCTTGTTGCTTCTTCCACTTATTTTCTTTCCATACAACCTCAAAAAGATGGAATAGGTGGAATTTCAACTGGGAGGGTTAGAAGCTATCTGAAAGAAGACCTGGTGATATCCAGATTAGTCATAACAGTGTGCTGCAATAGAGCTGGAATTCCAGAGAATGCACCAAATGTAATGTTTCAAATGTGAGATAGATAGATAGATAGATAGATAGATAGATAGATAGATAGATAGATAGATAGAATATTAGTTCAAATTTCATCAATGGCATCAACTGTCTACTTATTTTGAGACCCCATTTAGAGTGTTGTTTTAAAACTTCATAGTTTTAAATGCTTTGGGGTCAAGTACTTTAAAGGGCTACCACATCCATATGTATCTCTCTAATTAATAAGATCCTCCCTGGAGTTCCAGGAGGCATGGAGGGATGAAGTAATATAGCCTTTGTCAGTTGTGGCCCCAAGGTGGCAGAACTTCTAAGTTTTCTATTGGATCCCCAATTTGATAAAGATTTCAATGGAAGGCAAATTTAGGGATTCATACTTAATAGTGAAATCACTTAATAGTGAAATCTCTAATGCCATAACATTATGCCCTTTGCTATCTCCTCCATTTCACCAGAACTAGCCCTTCCTCACCTTTTGTTGCACTTCCCAGACCTCCATTACTTTTTCCCCTCCCAACAGATCAAATGCCATTATAATTTATGTGTACTGAGATTAATACATAGTGGGATTCTGATGTAACATATTAGACCAGCAACCCAGTTTTGCTAGAGTGTACTAGACATAAGACAGCTATGAAAGAGATGCTTAAACCAAGGATGGGGAACCTCTGGATAATGAGCCTAATTTGATCTCCCAGGCTGATCCCTTTCATATCCACTTTCTCATGTCATTTGTGGTGAAAGTCACATTTGCAAATCCTCACTGAAAGCACTAACAAACACAGTTCTATTTTAGCTGCCACACCCCCAAAAGCTGTGCTTGCAGATCTCTACCAAATTCGCTTTACCTTGGCCATCCCACATCTTCTCCAAAGGGGATTATGTGGTGTATCCAAGATCAGGCAGAGCCATATTTTCAAACATCCCAGGGGGCACTTCAGTCAGAATGCTCCTTCTAATTAACATCTCTATATTATGGATGCATTGATATTTCCAGTTTGGTTACAAGTTGATGCTGCTATGTCATCAAGTCATAGCTCCACTTGCACATGGTATATCTGTGTGATTTTGGATTATTACTCATCCACAGCAACTGTCTTGCACTCTTATCCATTGCTGTTGAGAAGTCACCTGACCTTCTGGGGATCTATAAAGGGAGAAAACTGGACAGTCCTCTGTGTGAATGTCTTTCCATTCACCCAAAATGGAATTCCATGTTGTTGAATTTATTTGAACAGTTAAACAGCAAATAATGTCAATTATGAGATTAAGTGTGGCAAAGTTATGGCATGGGGGCTGGAAAACATGACATTACAAGAATTCTTTCAATTCTGTGATATATGATTCTAAGGTTTCTGTAGGCAGAAGTAGGAAATCTAGATGCCCTTAGACAGAATTGGGCAATGCAGCTCACCAGCATTCTATTTATCAACTCCTAGGCACCTTGAGTTTGTGTCACCAAATTGGTTGGGAAAATTATCTAATTTCAAGCAGTGCAACTTTTCAGGTTCCCCTTCCCCCAGACAAAAATGGAAACAAAAGATGGAGGCTTCTGGGGGGCATTTCTATACGTAAAAAAATGAACTCCACTTCAAAATGTCCTGAAATTGCATCACCTGGTTAAGCTATTTTGCCAGCTAATAACAATGGCATAATTTCCAGCCATGGGGCAGGGAGCATCAAGGCTTTTAAGGATGGAACTGGGAGCTGTTTTAGATTATCTATTCCCTGTATTCACCCTGTATCCCCTGTATTAAACTACAAAACTACCCTCCCAAACTACAAAAAAAAAAATCAGCCACATCCCTTCTAGTGCCATCAGTTCATCACCTTCTGTGGCCCTTGCTTGATTGTTCAAAGGTTGTGAAGTCCTTGGGGTTCTCTGGTCAGCAATCATCACCCAGATAAGCAGAGATTAACACCAAGATTATCACCAGACATACAATCAAGCAATAAACAATGCCCTAATCAAGGAACTACCAGAGAAAAAACAACACACACACACACACCCCAAAACTGGCAGGACAAGCTACTGTATATAAACAAACAGCAAACCCCACTCCATTCTAGCACTGAAGATGTTACCTAACCAGGTAATGTAATGTTTGCAAGAAAACAATCAAGCTCAGAGAATCCCAAGGACTCCACAGTTCAACCTTGAACTACATATATTCTCTTCTATTGTTCAAAGGTTACACATCCCTGTCTTAAGATATAAGAAGAAATTATTGCCAGCAGCAATTGGGTTATTTATTTATTTATGCAATAGCTATATGCTTTACAGGTCAGAAGATGTCTCAACATAATATACATATATATTTATAAAGCATCATTAAATAAATGTCATGATAAAGTACAACGTAAAGCATTTAAACTAATACATTGAAATTTATTTTAGAAATACACTTATATATAACACTCATACAAGGAAAACCTAAGTGAAGAGATGGATCATTATGAAGTGTCCAAAGCACATATTAGTGCCTCCCAAATATAGAGAGAATGAACAGGCATGTGGCTTATGTGTTTCAGTGGAAGTTAGGATGGCTGAAAGAGTCAAAGGTGATGGGCAGAAGTGAGGGTATCTCAAGCAGAGAGAATAGATAAGCACTCTCAGCAGACACAGTATTTCACAGTTTGGATCCTAGTGGCATTCCTCACAGCCATCTCAGTTTGTCTCATGGTAAGGCCACCTCTGGAAATGACCCATCTTTCTTCAAATTAGTCTCTGTGTATAGCTTAACAATATTATAGTCAGTGTTGCAGCTGGATCTGAAAAGGAAGCAACTGCTGGCTTTGTTCTTTGCAGACAACCCTGTGGCACCATGACTTCTCCTAGAACTCTGATAGTGAACAGAAATTTATTGCAGTGTTAACACTGAACACGCATCATATACTCAAGTTCTGTATATGTATTTTTAAAAGTTATTGTCACAGAAATGTCACAAACCTCCTGTGATCTCTTTTAAAAAATTGAATCCTGCTGAACGTTTCTTCACTAAGAGTGGTATGTTCTTAATGCTAGTGAACATTTTGAGAAACACACAAACCAGGTAGATAAGACAACTGTTTCAGGACAAGCTATTGCTGTGTGTGATTAGTTTGGTGCATAACTGAAAACAAGGTTTTCAGTACAGACATTTTTGGTGAGAAGAGGAATGTTACATGTGTGCAAGAGATGTCCTTGTTTTCATCTGTAAAATGGAAAGAGTTTGGAATATAGGATTTAAAATAATTACTTTCAAAATACCTCTATGTTAATTATTTTAACACTGAACCATGCAATAACTTCACTAGGTTTTTGTATATGTGTGGATGTCATTTCTTATTATGAAAGATTTTCAAATATTTTGTTAAATCAGATTCTTTTCCCATTTCATTCCTTAAACAATTGCAAAAGAATAACAATAATGTGCCAGAATTAAATCTTATCCTGCCTAGATAATCTGGAGCTGAGACTTTATGACATGATTAAAGCTGAGATGCTCACCAGAGGTAGGGATTTTCTAGGAGGGGGGGAATAAAAATATTCAGCCCCTTGCTGATTCCTTTTGTGCATTTCTCTAAGATATTTTATATGGTTACAAACTATAAAGTCACTGCACATTTTCCTCTGTATTATGATGAAAATAGATTACATCTTTCCAGAAACCTTGACGATCTTTTTTTTTAATTCCTCTATGTTCACTTATACATATTTCTTGAACTACAGAATGTTTTATCTATACTCCATATATTTCTGATATTTTTCATCACTGTTCCTGTAAAAAAATGCATCTGTAAAAGACAATTATGGAAAAAATAATAGCAAAACAACTGAAATTAGTAACTTCATGTATTTTATACTAGAAGTATGACTTAAGATAACAATAACTGAGGTTGTAATTTATAATCTAGGAGTAAGTCCCATTAAACTCAATGGACTTTATTTTAGTACCTATATCCTTACCAAAATACTTGAAATCCCGTAATTCAGCATTATATGTATATAGTAAATTATAAAGTAATGGTAAGCGGTTTTTCTATAACAAATTTAAAATGTTATTGTACTAGATTTTCAACTTGAGTGTTTCACTTTCAAAATGTATTTTTTCTTTCAGAAAGGTATGATCTGTTCTGTTCTGAAACCAACTATTAAGGGAATAACAGCAACAATATTGCCCCACTCTAAGTAGGTTAGTTCACTGTTCCTATAGTAAAGGAATTTGTGAAATAATTGCACTAGAGTAAAATTCTGTGAGCTAATGGATTGACACTAAGGTTCTTTCTGCATGATACACCCTATTGCAAGCTAGCTAG